TAGAGGATGCATTTGCTACACATATCCGCCAATGCCAAGGACCTATCCAATGAGTTTTACTGAATGGGTAAACTGCCAAAGGCATGAGCCAACAATGAGCCAACAACGAGAAAATGGTGTGTTGGAACTGAATTGGAGAAGGGAGGCGAATTCTCAATAGCACCAGCGATTGGTGAAAATACGGTTGAAGAAACGGAAGCAGAAAGGCAGTTGCAAAAGAAATGGCCCACCAAACTAATAGGGAGTTCAATTGTTGCACTCACTTGTCGAAAATCGGCGGTTTTTGAAAGGCAGTTGGTATTGCGGCAAACAAGTCGGACCCAACTACTGTGGAATTCCTTCATCATGGCGCCATACAGAATCAAAGAGAGCATGAGTTTCCAGACAAGCCTTAACTACGGGTACACCACCTGAGATCAATATCCGACCCATCTCACAAGAATCGCTATAAGGAAAGGTCTGTAGCACTGCACCACTGGACTCAAACCCCGCTGGCGGCAGTCGGTGCAACCAAGTGCCAAGCTGATCTCAAATCACGTCCGCCATGTGCACATGGAGAGAATCAAGTGATGTTTGACTTCATCATACTAAAGAATTTCGGTCATCGCGCAAAGATCTGCCAACTCTGTCCCCCTCTGTGGAACGATGTTCTGATCGTTTCTCTCTGGGTCACCTATCTGTTTACTTCTGAGGCTCAAAGATGTGTCCCCCTCTCATGGATCAGATCCTTCTGTGGGTGCTTCGAGCTCCATCGTTTCTGCTTCTCGATCAGACTCTCTACGATGGCAGCTGAGTCCCGGGGTCCCATGCGGCGACATGCGCACCTCTACGACGCGCACGACGCGTGCCGTCGAAAGGCTAGGAACTTCTCTTCTCTTCCGGCCTAACGGCTACGGTTCGATGAAAGAACCATCAACGCCACACGAGCTACGCCAAGTGTTCACGCCACACGTGCTCAGCTCAGTTCAGAAGCGGAGAAAAACCAACCAGCACCCTTCGCTCATCGAAAGCAGTTCCGACACCCGACACCCTCCTGCCGCCGACCCGACACCCGACACCGCTGTGCTCCGCCGTCCGCCGTCCGTGCGTCCGGACACCTTTTTTGCGTCGCGGATCTGAAGGTGATCTGCCTGACGGAGAGGCGGGGTTCACGAAGACGTCCGCTCGCAGAGTGACGTTCTGACTCGGAACGAAGGCAAAACGCCAAATGCAGTTGAAACCCTGAGCAACTAAGCGCAAAAAGGGAAAGTCTCTCATTCCAACATGCGCACACTAGAACGCTGGCCGCACACGTGCGTGTGCGCAGTCTTCTCGTTTCACTCCAGCACACTTATGGCGCTGGGCACCAAAGACGCACCTACCTGCCACGCCACTGCAAGAGTTTGCGGCGTCGGCGGCGTACGAAGCAAAAGACGATCGTCTACCTCTCGCGGCGGCTCGAGAGCTGCGAATGAGATCATATTAGTGGGTCGCAATTGATTATTGCAAGCTGTGGGAATACCACTGGTCAAACAAAGCAGAATCTTTGGAACAATGCGGCGTCCCCTTCTCCTTCAAGCACTTGAGGAGAACCTTCATCTTTCTTGTCAGGATGCCCTTCCCATATGGCCCTGCCACACCATGTGCCCATGAAGATGGTGTATACCCCAGAAAGGCATAGAAAAGGTCACTCCGCGACACCTCACCCGGCTTTTCATGGCAGAAGGGCTGGTACCACGCGCAATGAGTCAAGGTGGTGTCCAAGGAGAGCTTCGCATAAGCCACCGTCAGCCTCCGGTTGTCCGTGCGGAAAACTGGGAGACCGAAGCGCGCGCTGCACAAGGGCGTTGACTGTGGATCCCAGCTCATGCCATGAGAACCTATGATGAAGCCATCTACTTCGGAGGGGTCTGCATCATCACTAAGACAAGAATCCTCATTGGTCAACTTAAAGTTGGTCATGCAATTGCAGTGCTGGTGGCCAACCACAAATTTCAGTCGCGTTGCAGCCGTTTTCGCGGGGCCATACGGACTTTGGCCGGTTCCCTTGAAGGCGGCACAATCCGAGTGGTCGAGAGCCCACTGGGAAACATTTGGCACATCCCAGCCATCTTTGCAACCAGCACCAGGTTTGTTCCAATGGCCTAGCATCAGAACGAGATCCGGATTCTTCTCTTTCATGAAGGAACAAGCTTCTGTGACAAAGGCACGTGGGTCTTCTCCAATGCACGTCGTCACTATGAAGCCCACATTGCCCGCGATGCTGTAATGCTGGAAATTGACCGGTTTTGCATCCTCTTTCGGTGCAGCTGACAGGTCCAGAAACGCTGGCGCTTCTGAAAATTTTGAGGTCGAAGTGCCAGGTGGAGAGATCAACTGCTCCTCTGGTGCTTTCGGTGCCCATGTGGCTGCAGTGTCCATGGCATAGAACTGAGATTGGCCATTGGCAAATTGATCGAACCCCCAACAATCATCGTTAAATGCCAGTTGTGGATATCCATGGAACCAATAATCGTGATTTCCCGGCGTGGAAATCAGCGGCACTGCTCGCGCTGCCTCCTTCAGCTGCGCAAAGACGCTCACGGAAAAAAACGCCATGGCGGTCGTAGAAGTTGTCGCCCGTCAAAAACCACACGTCACTGCTGGGCAACGCGGCATTCAGCAAGGTGGGTAACGTCAAGTTGGTTCCGTAATAGTCACGGAAATTGCACTGGCCACCTCCCAGAAAGTTGCCATTGCAGGGATCTCCTATGACCACAAGTGTTAATGGCTGTCCAAAGTCTGGTGGCATTTTCGCTGAGGACTTCGCAGTGGTGAAATTCCGCACCACCTCGCCCGGAACAGCTGCAACTAAGCCACTTTGCAAGTGTAAAGGAGCTCCACCAATCGATTCCTGTAGGGAAGGTTCAGACTTTTGATCCCTCAACTCCATTAAAGACTGAGCTGCGAAGAACGTATCGTTTCATGGTTTTCCCCGGGTCAATACAGGTTCATATAGGTAAACACTGGAAACTCATCCAGACAAGTCTTTCTGTGGAAGGGCTCTGAAACAACCTCTGGGGAATGTTTCGTGTTGCTTGCTTTCGATGCTGTCATGGTTTCAAGTTTCAACCCAACAT